CCCACTTTTGCTCTTTTCTTTTGCTTACACTCTTCTTTTATTCTTATCTTACGCTTCACCTACCATAATTTACACTCCACACAACAGCTCTTATACATCTCCAACTTTAATAGTATATTTTATAGGCAAATCATTTTTTTATATAACTAATTCGTTATAGACTTTAGTCTATTTTTCTTGTTAAAATATTTTGATCATGAAACCATCCTTTGGTGTTTCGGTTATATAACTAAATAAGAGATTGGTTTTTGCGTGTTATGTCGTTAGCATTAACAAGGATAATCAGTGGCGGAGGTAGAAATTTATGTTATGGGGGTCAAAAATTTTTTTTTTAATATAAGATAATACACTAAAAACTTTAATATTTTTTTGGTGTTTTGTAAAAACTGAAATAATATTAGGTGAGTATTTCTTTTATTTAAAGTTAATTATGGGTCTAAAATTTTAGTGAAAATCAAACTTTCAAATATTTAAACTATTTTTTCTTTCAAGTTGCAATATTAATTTTGTATTGGGGTCAAAATTTATTTTAAGTTGGGGTCATTAGAATTATTGCTAATGACATATAATGGATTTTTAAAAATTCATGGGGGTCAACTGACCCCCCTATCAAACCTCTGCCTCCGCCACTGAGGATAATAGGTAGGTACATGGCATGATTTATCTATGACACATAAAAATATGAAGACATTCCATATTTGCAGGCAAGAAAAAAGAGGGTAAAAAGTGAACAGATGACGACGTAAAACGAATAAAGGATCGAAGAAGATGGTACGATGTCGTATTATTTATCCAAAAATCTATATATTATAGCAATCTAATAAATACCATTTGTACATCTGAACGGTTACGTCTTTTTATCGCAACCTTTCGTTTAAATCGGTTAATTTTTTATAGTTATTTTGGTTGCGTCTTTTTATCGTAATTTTCGTTTTAATCGGTTATTTTTTAACGGTTATGTCGTTTCCAATAAATACCATTTGCACATATGAACGGTTGTGTTTTTTTATTGCAACCTTTCGTTTAAATATTTATGGTTGTTTTCTATATATAATAGTATTCTCAATAAATGCATTTTGCACATCTGAACGGTTGTGTCTTTTAATCGCAACTTTTCGTTAAATTTTTTTAAACTAAAATCTATATTTGACGGGTATGTTTTTTAGAAAATTGCAATCCGAATGTCTTCAGCGGTTGCATTTTTTATTGTAACTCTTCATAAACAGTTGCAACCTCTTATTTGAATTATTGCAATATTTAGTTTATTTTACGAACGATTGCAACCTTTGATTTATATATTTAGTTTATTTCACGAACAATTGTAACCTTTGGTTTATTTTATAAATTGCTATAACATCTAATTATCTGCCGTCGAGTCTCTCGGTATAACTTTTCATAAATTAATATTTTTAATTTTTAATTACCAAAATTTATTTAAATGAGATTGTAATCGTTTAATTGAACCGTTGAACCATTTGATTTATCTGACAAATCATTGCAATTTTGGTTTTATTTTACGAACCGTTGTAATCTTTAGTTTATTTGACAAACTTGACGAACCGTTGCAACTTTTGATATATCGCAACATTTCATTTTTTTTTAAACTAAAAAAATTATTTTACATTATATGTTTTAAGAAAGTTGCAATCCGAATAAATATTTTTTACGGTTGCATCTTTTTATCGTAACTTTTCATAAAATGGTTGCAACCGTTTAGTTGAACCATTACAACATTTAGTTTATTTCACGAAAAATTGAAGCTTTAAGTTTATTTTATAAATCGTTATAACATTTAATCATCTACCATCGTTATTATTAATTTTTGTTTGATATTTTTTTAACGATTTTTGAAATATTTTTTTCCGCGACATCGCGGGGGTCCGGAGTCCTAGTAAGAATACAAACAAAAGAATTCACTAGTAAAAAATATTTTTGCTACTCTCCCGAAGAAGGCCAAGGTCCCCGTATCTGACGGAGTTTATTGCATCTGTCTTTTTCTTCTTTCATTTTCTTCTTCTTCTCCTTTCTTTTGGGGTTTTCTTTCTTTTTTCATATTCTGCATGTTTTAAAAAACTTTACTTTTATTACAGAATTTCATCTTTTACATCAATTTGCGTGATGGCGATTTATGATCCATCATTCCACCTTTTTTTTTTTATGATTTTACTGACAAAATAAACATGTTATTCTAAAGTCTTAAATAAAAAGAATTTTGTTTTATAAATTCGCTATTGCGCAATTTTACCAATCAAAACAATGGTTTTATATTATATTCCAAATTTATTCCCAAATAAAAATCGTGACAATTTGAAGTCAAAAGAACATAAAATTTTGCCTATCCGATTTGGCGAATTACATTTGATTTTTATTTTTTTGTTCTATTTAAGAAATATCAGAAATTTGGCAACAAGTTTTCAAAACTCTTAATCATTAAGAGATGAATCCACATCAACATAATTAATTTTTTTCGCAACACAAAAATCATATTCGAACTCACCAAAATATTTATTTCTTAACGAATTAAGCTAACCGCTCTCAAATTTTTGTTTTGTCTTATTTCATAGATCACCAAACATATTTATTTCCATTGCACCAAAATTTGAGGACTCTGTGTTATAAAAGTAATTCACCGTTTTTAGTCTTAAAAAATAAATTAAAATCTCCACTTCCCCAAAAAGCTATAATGGCGAGACACTCCACAAAACCAATGCAATGTAATGGACACATGTCTTTAAAAGCAAGAAGTGAAAGATAGAGAGAAAGTATTCAACTTCAAGCATACGCATTACACAAGAAAGAGAGTTCACAAACAAAGCATCTCTTCTAATTTCATTTAACAACAACCCAAAAAAAAAAAAAAAACGAAAAACTTAAAAAGTGTTTCTCTGCTTTTTAAGTTCCCACACAAAATTGAATTCTTGTGTTCGGTTGCCAAATGGGTTCCAACTGATTTATCCGTTATTGTTCTTTTTGTTTTCTTAATATTGTCTTCGTGTTCTTGTGTTGAAAAATGATGAAGAGAGAGACGTTAAAAGAAGTAGGAATAATCGGAGGATTAGCCGGAGCTCAGGTGATCTACGCCGGAAACTCGGAGCTACTGAGTCAGTTGTTGTCTCTTGGAATTGACCCTCTTCTTATTGTAATCCTCTGCACCTTTGCATCATTTCTTCTCATCACTCCCTTTGCTTTTCTCCTTGAAAGGTAATTTTTTTCTTTTTTTTTTTTTTTTAATATGACAAACTCTCTGTTTCGAACTTTATTTCTAGAATATTTTTTGTTGACTTTTTTTGGATATTTGTGAAATGGTTCTATGTTTTTCGGTGGTGTGTATTTGCAGGAAGCTTTGGCCTACAAGTCTAAGTTTCAAGTTGAAGATAAAACTGGTTTTGGTTGCTCTTGCTGGGTAAAAACTCTTCCTTTTTTTATTTATGCATGTTTTGATTATTAGATGCTTACTTGCTTCTTCTATACGTTAAAGAGAAGGAGAAGAATTAAAAATTCATAACAAGTGTTTAATCAAGCGAGAAGTCGTGTTTGAAACAGAGTGTCTCTGTTCCAGTGGTTATACTTAGAAGGAATGAAACATACCTCTGCATCAATGGCTACAGCTATGCCTAATCTCTGTCCTGCTTTCATTTTTGTCATTGCTTGGGCTGCTGGGTAAATCTTTAACTTTTCTGTTAATTTAATCTGTTTAGTATCTAAAGATTAGAGCTTTAGTTAATTGGTTTTGAATAATTGACTTTGTTAAGGATGGAGAAAGTGAAGCTAAGTTGTATGTACAGTAGAGTTAAGATGGGAGGGACAGTGTTATGTGTGATGGGAGCATTCATTATGAGCTTAATGCATAGTACTACCGCCACTCCGAGCTCAGTCAAGACTATGCCTATTGTCCCTGACGAAGTCGTTGTGGACAAGGACAAGATCTTAGGTTGCCTCTATCTCCTCCTCGCCATATGCGGCTTGTCTTCTAGTATTGTCCTTCAGGTTTCACCTTATGCCCCTTCTTAGCCCTAGAGCTATCATATATCCGGTTCTTTGCTTGTGAAATCACTTTGATTGTCCTAATTAGGCATCCATACTAGCCGAGTTTCCGGCGCCTATATCAATGTTCTCGATGGTATCTTTGATGGGTGGGATCACCACGGTAGCTTTGCAGTATGCTCTTAAGGGTAGTATGGAGATGGGTAGTGCATCAGTAATCGGTCTCGGTCACCTTGTGGGATACGCAATACTGGTAAGTCATGAAACATATATGGTGTGAAACATTTGGATGTGTTGAAAATGTTTTTTTGGGCTTCTAGGGAGGGTTGGTGAGTGGAGGAGGGTTAAGCTTCAATGCATGGGTGATTAAGAGGAAAGGACCAGTGATTGTGTCTCTCTTTAGTCCAATTGCTACTGTGGTTTGTGTTCTTGTCTCTGCTTTTACCATGGAAGAGAGTTTCAACCTAGGAAGGTATACATTTTTGCAGCTTTTCTCCTTCAAAGTAGTAACTTTTAGACAGAAAGAGAAGTCATCTATCTTCTTTCTTGTTTTTTTTTCCTTTATCAAATTAGCTTTGCGGGAATGGCGTTGATGTTCGGAGGACTCTACTTCGTTCTGTGGGCTAAAGGGAAAGAGGATTGTGAAGAAATAGATGAAACAAAACAAGATGATGAAGAAAGTTTGCTTAGAACAGAGTTTGATCTTCAGAAGCCTCTCTTGCTTTAGTTCAAAGTCTTATTTTTCTTAATGTTCTTGTGCATTTTTAGTTTAGGTTTAAAGAAGTAAGATCAATTTTTACTTTACAGATAATACAATTATATATACATGTAGACTGTAATATATATGTTCGTGTGTGATACTAAAATAGTTGGATATAAAAAACATCACATACATTGAAAATAGTGTGATTCAGTGTTCCGTAGGATACAAGACCCCGATTTACTTGTGTTCATTGTTGCCAAACAAAATTGAATCTTGACTTTGATGATGAGTCTGTTGAATTCTCTGTGACTGGTGACCGAAGCATCCACCTGTCTGGATTCTTGGAGGAACATGAGCACCACTATGAGATGGATGATGATGATGATTTGTATCCTAATTTACTATTATTAGCAAATCTTACTTTCTTGTTAATATCTTATAGAGTTTTCATTGCGACACACTATTAGAGATTGGATCGATATTGTTGAATCTGAGTCAGGGGATAGTGAAGAGAATCATTTGGATGAATTTGAGGACTTCCTTGATAGCAATCTTGAAATGTATCGTAATGCTTCGGTCCCAAAGTGCGGAGGTACTTTTTCTTACCGAGATGCTAATCAGAAACTATATATATATTTCTTGTGCTCTTTTTAAATAAAAATCTGATTTATATATCTTTGTGATATCTTTGCTAGTTGTAATTGAGGAGATAGAAGATGAAGAGAAACCTGCCAAATATAGTAAGACAAAACGAACCAAGAAGAAGAGTCAAGCTAGCGAAGATGAAGACGAAGACTGTTTTCCTATTCCCAAAGAAGAAACAGCTGAACCAGAGTGTAAGTCAGGCGTGGAGATGGAGTTAGATAATGACAAACAAGGTAGCAATAAAAAACGCAAGGCCAAGGCTTCTGAGCAAGATGGTATACATGAAAGGTAATTATTCTCTTTAATCTTTACTGTGACATATTTTATATTTTGCAAGTATTGTATGAATATTAACTTGTTAAAATCTGTTCCAGCATAAGCAAGAGCAAAAGGAAGAAAAATCAGAAAGAAAAGAAGAAACAAATTTCTTCAAACACAACAGCTCCAGCCGGGAAGTACACCGAGACTTCTCAAGTACGGACATATCCGAACGGTCTCGTTGTTGAAGAGTTAAGCATGGGAAAACCAACCGGCAAGAAAGCTGAACCTGGAAAACAGGTTTGCCCACTTATAGTCATAAATTGCAGATATCATGTGGGTTACAGTGGGTATTCAAAGAATTGACATAGCATAAGTAAATGACCAAATTATTAATGCTTTATTGAACATGAAGGGAACAAACTAATGCATTGTTAGACCTAAGGGCACCAATGAATCCACATTACGTGGGAAACAAACAAATGAATGCATCATAAGGGATGGGATGTTGGCGTAAATGGTAACCTAGTTTCTTCCTAATAGGTTGTTTTCATCACTTTGTTCAAATGTTGTTTTGCTCTCAAGTTTTCAAAATTTCACAGGCATGCGTGTTGGCGACAAAAGAAGGACTACAATTCCTCCATCAATGGGGTAAATCATTTTGATTGAACTTGCTTTTTCTATTCCTTGTTGATTGTGATGTTTTGTTTAACCTTTTCTTAATGGGATGATAACATTGCCTGGCTCTCTCATATAAATGTTTCTGTAATGGATGATTTTATTCAATAGCTAGATGAGAATATATATACATACAGGGAGTAGCTAGGGTATTACATAGCAGTAATTACAATATTGACTTTACATAAACGAGAGATTGACTAGAGTAATGAGGGGATATGATTGATCAAATCAAGTATTATGATTGATCCTTAACATCTCACAGGTACAAGAAAAGTTGGAAGGGTGCTAGTGCCGAGGTTCCTCCTAACGCTTGGCTGACGATTGATGTCGAACTGATTAATGTTAAAAACGTTATAAAGATTGAAAGTATGATCCCTAAGGCTCGAGTCTTTTAAAATGTTATTTGTGGTTCCCATAAGGACCATAACAACTCCTACTATGTATGATCTTTTACTTTTATATTCGGCTCCATGATTTGATATACCAATGATTCATTTTGTTGAAGTCTCCCTCTAATCAAGGTTCCTCATTTGTGTAAGTAACTTGTTAATTTTTAATCGTTCATCCTATTCAAAAACTAGAGACTTCCCTTAACTTAGAATTTTCAGTTTCTTTGCACACACTACATTGTGAAGCAGCATAACATGATTTATCCATCAACCGTGAGTCTCTGGAACAGAGAAGATAAGCTTAAGTTGTTTTGAATAGCATAACATAGTTGTTATCTCTTCCCCTGTTTCACACATAATCACTAAGCGTTACATAGTTTTTAATCATAACAAAAGAAGGATGTTGATTTACCTTTGTTCCTTCTAGCTTCTTTCAAGAACGAAACCACCTTTGGATTCGTTCGATTATCTTCAGACCAATGCCTCCAACTTTTGCTGTTTTGCACATGTAACTTGGTTAATCCAAGGACCTTGTGATATGATCGTATGAGCTATGGTTAATCATTTGTTCACATGTGACAAGTGAGTGTCAATATCTCTAGTTAACTGTAGTGACTTCCATACATATACACATTTAGAAGGGAACACATTTTATTTTTGTAATGATATATATGAGACTATTGTTTGCATAACTTCTTTAGATCTATGTTTTATTACATAGTACTATTGAAAATACTTAAAGAAAATGATTGAATAGTTTTAAGAAGTTGCATTGAATTTCTAAAAAATTGATATTTTCATTTTAATTGAAGGGGAATTTTATGTGTTTTAACATTTTTCTTGGACCATGCTGTACTGTTTAGGAATAAAGCATGGTTTTGTGTTTTTGTGTTTCCATCAGGTTCTTTTCTCATCTTAATATTTAATTATTGGTAACAAATTTTCTTGTAGTCAATTAATACCTTTATTAATAATGGACTAATATTAAAGCACTGAACAGTTATGGATTTACTGAAAAATTGAGATTCAAGCAAAGCTAAGTAGTTAACACTAAAGATTCCATTGTGTAAGCCTCTTCTTTACTCAAATATGTATTAAAGTTCCAACAACTCAAAATTCAAATCCTTGCCTTCTTTTTAATTCTTGGTAATGTTAATATATGTATTCTTTGTCACCTTTTCAATGAAACCATGATTACCAAAGGTAATATTAACAATTTAATGCATTCTTAACTACTGCTACATCTGTGTGTAATTGTATGACTATGCAACATTTTAGTACACTTTATCAAGAAAAAACATTTTTAATACATAATGTCATCCTCTTTTAAAAAAGTATTAGTTTTCTAATAGTCTTATTTACTATTTGACATCCAAATGTTTTGTATGAAACAAAACAAGAACTGTTACTATAATACGACAAATAATTATATAACTTCTAATTGCTTAGAAGTATAAATCAACTTTTTTTTGGATAACCAAACACATACGTAAGTTTTCGAATCGGAAAAGCTATCACATTTATTAGTATCATCTGCATTATTGGTAATTAAATCGAACTAGCATCGAACCAATGGTAATCATTTTATAGTCCTTATCATGAACCATATCGTAAAAAGTGAAAATAAATATAGAGATTTCAGTATGAATGTCAAGTTTGTTGAACATGCAATGCAATCATAAACAAAATTCAGTCCCGGTTAGAAAATTAAAATATTAAGACATTATCATACTCGCAAGTCGCAACTAATTACATTGAAATAAGAGCAATGAGTCTCTCTATTGCAAACAAAAGAATGACATCCAAGAGTTCTCAATTCAGCTAAACAAGTTGGAATCGAATGCAAAACATGTTGAATTAATAAACTAATGTAAAAATGGATTCAGAAACAAAGTTCAATTAGGTTTCACATATTTATAATACGAAATCATCTAAAACATATATTTCTCTATTTTTGAAATAAATTTCTTTAAAAATAATCAAACCGGAAATTTATATTTATGGTGGTCTAGTGGTTAGAAATACTTACATTTTAAAGATTCACCACGGTTCATAAAGACAAAGTATAAAAAAACTGAAAAATAAGAAACGAGATTGGACATCCCTAATAAAAACCTTAGGTGGAATGGTTCAACATACTTGGACCTTTCTAGTCATCATTGTGTAGTCATTCACTTATGTGTCGACACCATCGTATGTTAAAGGATACCAATCTAAGTACAATTATAGATATGTGATAATTAGATTGTTGTTTCGTTTTCATTTTTCAAACAGTACTCTAACAGAAGTATCAAAACTCATGAGTATCATGAAGTTATTTAAACGTTTAAACCGTTAAAAATGACATTTCAGCATTAAAACCTCAACGCCCAATTAAATCAATGCAACTAATGCAATCGTTTTATGTATCATTTCAACCTCGACACTTCAACCGATTCTGCCATTACAATTCCTCCAACTAACCCAACCAACATAATTCACGCACACATACTTCGTTATGCTTAGAAACTCTTTTTATGCTTTAAGAAGTCCCTAGTCAACTAAAGAAGCAAAACAACAGCTTTTTGTTTTGTGCTTTGTTAGTCTATCTTTTAGACAACATTACCTTTGTAATTAACTAATAATTCAAATTTTAATCTTTCTGCATTAATTCGAGATTCTTCACTCGGTGGTTATCGTTGTCAGCCAGAATTAAAAATAGTATAGTTTTCTCTTAATTTTTTTACTAAAACTAAACAAAAAAACTTATCTTTACGTATCATTAGTGGTAGTTATCGTATGGACCAAAAAGTCATAATTGTTAATTTTGGGGGTTTGTGGAAAAAGAGAGGAATGCTTGTTACCTACTCTTATTAACTTCTCTCATTCTCTCTTTCTTCTCTGCTACAACAGTCTCTCTAATCACATTGAGACATAGAGAGAGAGATTTGACAAAAGAAACTTATTAAAGTCTTCTAAGGTTTATTTTCTTGCTTTTTGTTGTGTTCTTGTTCTTTTGGCAAAATGCAGAACAAACACAAATGCAAGCTTTGTTCCAAGAGTTTCTGTAATGGCAGAGCACTTGGTGGTCACATGAAGTCTCACTTGGTCTCTTCTCAGTCGTCGACTCGGAAGAAACTCGGTGACTCGGTCTATTCTTCTTCTTCTTCTTCCTCCGATGGTAAAGCTCTCGTCTACGGGTTGCGAGAGAACCCGAGGAAGAGTTTCCGGGTCTTTAATCCGGATCCTGAGTCCTCCACCGTTTACAACAGTGAAACAGAGACCGAACCTGAGTCCGGAGACCCGGTTAAGAAACGGGTCACAGCAAATGTTTCAAAGAAGAAGAAGAAGGCAAAGAGCAAGAGTAAGAAGCAGAAGACGAGTCACGAGTCACCAGAACCGGCGAGTTCTGTCTCTGATGGTTCTCCGGAACAAGATTTAGCTATGTGTTTGATGATGCTGTCGAGAGATTCAAGGGAGCTTGAGATTAAACTGAAAAAACCGGTTTCTGAGGAGGAAGAGACGAAGCCGGAGAAAAGACATTTCCCGGAGCTCCGCCGTTGTATGATAGATCTGAATCTTCCTCCGCCGCAAGACGCCGAAGCTGTTACCGTCGTTTCAGCCATATAAAGGTTTCAGAGATTAGAGTTCCATCAAAAATCAAAGAATCTTGATGATTTGGTTTGTCTTCAAGATTATTATTCTTTATTAGAAAAAACCGTTTATTGGTTTTGGAATCTTTGGGATGATATTATTATCAAACAATGTACTTTTGATGTAAGACAACCAAAAAAAAAAAAAAAGAAGCAAGAAAGAAACTAGCTCTGTTTCTAGTTTTCTTAACAATTTGAGCTTTCTTGAATATCCAGGATGATTATAGATTGTTGGATCTTTCTTTGTTATGTCGTTTTGATGATATTTGGAATTCTTGAGATGATTCTTTTGCATGATCTTTCGATCTTGGATCTTTTATTTTATTAATGTGTTTTTAATGGAACTATTTAATTTCAACTACATTTTTTTATGACACAACTCACACAAGTGTGTGCTATTTTAAATAATGTAAATATTATTCTCGCTACGTATAACAACTAGTATACACTGTGGTGATACTCAAAAGTCTCAAAACCATCCAAAATATGATCAGTCATAAGAGCATGGTCATGGGTGATACTCATAAAGTATCATTAAGAATTTTTTTGTATTATTTATAATGTTTGTTTAATATTTTTTTTTAATTTTTTCTCCTACTTTTGGCAAACGCGACCAATTAGGAGATGCCACGTCAGATGATACCGATATCAAAAGTATCACTGGGTTGATACTAATCATGCCCATTCTAATTATTTTGTCAATATAAAAATAATATTTGAGCTTGTGATACTCTAAAAATATCACCCATGTACATGGTCTAAACATTCAAAAATATCTCGATAAGTGAAATATCTAAACTCAAAAATACTGAGATATTTCACCTAAAAATGCAATGAATTATATTCGTTGAATAGTGGTGTAATTCTCTTCTTGAACCTCTGACAAACTAGCTACGAAGAATTAAATCGAATTTTTATCTGAATCAGAGAGATCGTATATCTTAAATTTCTGATATATCGGTTTATATCCACCTTATGCATTACTACTTTTTTCTCAAAACAATAAAAAGACAATTACTTATTGACAAAAGAAAAGAAAGGATAATTACTTATTTGGTTCTTTAATTCCTAATTTGTTTGTGGTGTCGTTTGTGTCGCCAGCTGCATCTTGTGTAACTCTGTCTAGTAGTAGTTTTATACCAAAACAGAACCAATTACCTATGTTTCTTTCTTGACACAAAAAAAAAAAAGAAGAAAAAAACTCAGCACACAATTTTTTATTTTATGGGCAAGGTCATTAAGTAACATACTTATTTATTACAGAAATATCCCTGAATCCATCTTCAAAATCACGTTTCTGCATGTTTACCCTTGCCTGACTCTCAGAGTTAAACAAACAATTATCCACTGACAGATCGACACCAGAATTAAACGAAGAGTCTTTTTCTTTATATATATTTTTTAGATTTTTAGTTTGCTTGAGTAATTTTCTTAAGAAAAAAGAACAAACATTTCATTATGTGTCCGAACAGTTTGAAGATGAAGGGTATTTTAGTATCATGTCATATCATATAAAGGTCGGGGGACATGTGGCACAACTTTTTCGCTTTAAGCTTCCTTTGGAAAATATGTGGACCGATCATAGAAATACAAATTATGTACCCAATTTATCTATTTTAGAGGTACCAAATTTTAAGTGTCATTCATGTTCACCATAATTTTGGTTGATAATTTTATAATATTTACACAAAATAACAATCTGTAAGAACATTATTCGAAAACATAACATAGCTAAGATGTTTTTGTAAATAATATGTATTTCATATATCTTACAAAGTGGTTACACGATCATATATATACAAAAACAGAGGAATATTCTAGGTTAGAGCAAGTATAAAATGTTATGTAAAAAAGGAAAGGAGATATTGAGGTAATGAAGGCCATGATTCTGCTATATCCTTAACACCCTCCCTCAAGATGGAGGGGATTTGATCACTCCAATCTTGTTTCTTAACTCTAGGAACCGAGAACGAGCTAACGGTTTGGTGAGCGTATCCGCTAGTTGATCCTTTGTATTGACGTGGGCGACGCGGAGGAGTCCATTTTGTATTTGACCACGGACGAAGTGGTAATCAATGGCAATATGTTTCATCCTCGAGTGAAAAACGGGATTAGCGCATAGAAATGTGGCGCCGATATTGTCACAGTAAATGACTGGTGCTACTGGAAGTATGATTCGTAGCTCAGTGAGGATGTTGCATATCCAACGTATTTCAGAGGCGGTGTTGGCGACGGACCTGTACTCAGCTTCTGTTGACGATCTTGACACACCGTTCTGCTTTTTGGCTGACCATGATATTGGATTTCTTCCTAGGTGGACAATGTATGCATTTGTGGATACATAATCATGTGAATCTCCAGCCCAATCTGCATCGGAAAATGCATGAAGTGTGAGCTGATTGTTTGCGGAGAAGAAGATCCCATGAGTCGTTGTTCCGGCTAGATATCGGAGAATTCTCTTTGCAGCCTGCCAGTGATCTTCTGTTGAGCGATGCATAAATTGAGAGAGACGATTTACAGCATATCCAATATCAAGTCTCGTGAAGGCAAGATATTGCAAACTCCCGACCAGTTTCCGGTAAGAAGTTGGGTCTGTGAGGGTCGAACCTGAGGTGAGTGTCAGTTTTGGAGATGAGGCCATTGGTGTGCTGACGGGCTTGGCGTCTATCATGTTATAGCTATGGAGAAGATCCAGAATGTATTTTCTCTGTGAGAGATGCAGTCCTTTTGATGTTCGATGTGCTTCAATGCCTAGGAAATAGTTGAGGTCCTCCGGATCCTTTACCGAAAACCTGTCAGCAAGTAGCTCAAGAATCCGAGCAATGCATGATCCATTGCTACCCGTGATAAGGATGTCGTCTACATATACCAGCAGGTATACATAGTCTTTACCATGTTGGAGAACGAACAAGGACGTATCAGCCAGTGAGTTTGTGAAGCCAAGACTGAGAAGATAAGTTTTCAATTCTGTGTACCACGCACGCGGAGCCTGTTTCAGTTCGTAGACTGTTTTTCGAAGTCGGCATACATAAGAAGGGTTGTCGGAATCAACGAATCCAGGAGGTTGTTCCATATAGACTTCTTCATTTAGAGTTCCTTGAAGGAACGCGTTGTTCACGTCCAACTGTTTTATAGGCCAAGACTTTGAGACAGCAACATCAAGCACGAGACGGATGGTGGTGGATTTGATTACTGGACTGAACGTATTAGTGTAGTCACGTCCTTGTTGTTGATTGTAACCCTTGGCCACCAACCTTGCTTTACACCTGCCAAGATAACCATTAGATAGAAATTTGTTTTTGAATAGCCATTTGCAACCAACGACATTGAAGTGAGGTTGCCGTGGAACCAAATCAAAAGTCTGATTTCTCGCAAAGGCATCAAATTTAGTTGACATAGCACCACGCCAATTCGGGTCTTTCAAAACCTGGTTCACGGTCCTTGGTTCAGGTGGTATTGGGGTGGACAGGGCAACGGAGAGGTTAAGTTTTGATTTGGGTTTGGTTATGTTGTTTTTTGCACGAGTTTTCATGGGGTGAAGGTTTGTTTGTTCTTGAGTTTCAGCTACAGGTACGGTTGATGTCGAGGGAAGAGTGATGTTTGTAGGATTGGATTTTGTCTTTTTTGGGTTTGGGCCATGATTTGATTGGGCCGATGATGTTGGGCTAGGAAGTGGGTTGGTTTCTTTTTGGGCTTGAGTTGGTGCGTTATTGGGCCGTGGGTAGAAGAGTTTGATGGGTCTGGTTGGGTGTCGGGTCTAGTTGAGGAACGTACCTGGGAATTGGTTTCGATTTCTCGATTCAGTGGTGACTCACGACTATCATTATTGAATTCGTTTCCCTGCGATACGTTCTGGTGATGGTCCGAGCTCGAGAGTCCAGGCGAAGACGGCAGAGACGGTGATACGAGTGGAGGCTGTGGGATGACGACGGCTTGTGGGTTTGTGGCGATTTGAGTGAGAGCTGTGTTTGATGGTGGTGGATTTTGAGAAGATTTTCGGAATGGGAATGTCTGTTTATCGAATTTGACGTGTCTAGAGATGTAGATACGACCTGAGGCTGGTTCAAGACAAAGATATGCACTTTGAGTGAGTGAATATCCTAAGAAGATGCAGGGAGTGGATCGATTCTCGAGTTTATGATGAGTGTATGGACGCAACCAAGGAAAACAGAGACAGCCGTAGACTCGTAGCTTTGCATAATTTGGTTCTTCACCGAATAGTTTCTGGAATGGAGTGTTCATCGCAAGCACGGGCGTCGGTAGACGGTTGATCAAGTATACCGCAGTGGCGAATGTGTAGGTCCAATAGGACGTTGGCATGGCAGCATGTGTGAGGAGAGTTAGCCCGGTTTCCACAATGTGACGATGCTTCCTTTCGGAGATTCCATTGTGTTCTGGAGTGTGAGGCGGTGAGGTGAAATGAGCGATTCCGGCATTAGAGAGGAAGGATCGGAGAGCTATGAATTCACCACCATTGTCTGAATATAGAGTTCCGATTTTGGTGTTGAACCGATTCTCAACGAGGGCTTTGAAGGGAATGAATGTGTCTTTCACTTGCGATTTTGTTTTGAGTGGATACATCCATGTGTAACGTGTATAGTGATCGATAAGAACCAAGTAATACTTGTAATTATCTACGGAGATAATCGGTGAGGTCCACACATCAGTGAAGATAAATTCAAGAGGGCGAGAGGAGGTAATGGACGTTTGTGAGAAGGGAAGTTTATGACTTTTATTTATGGAGCAATCAGTACAAAGTATGTTTTGAGAACTCGATTGCTTGCAAGGAAGAGAAAAGGTAGAAACAACTGTTTTAAGAATAGAGGAAGACGGGTGGCCAAGGCGGTAGTGCCATTCTGCTAAGGTTGGGTTTGATGAAGAGGAAGCAAAGAAGGAGTTTATTGTGGATGGAGAGACTGGCCACTCGTATAACTCATCTCTAGTCTTGCCTTGGAGTAATGGGACCCCTGAGCTGAGATCCTTCACCTGAAAGTGGGCAGGGAAAAATTCAACAGAAACTTTGTTAGAATTACATAGTCGATAGACCGAGATGAGATTTTTATGAATGTTTGGGACACATAAGACATTATTTAAGGATAGGTTTCTAGAGGTAGAGGGTAGAGATAGTGAACCAGTATGAGTAATTGAGAGACCAGAACCGTCACCGATTAGCACAGCATCATCTCCATGGTATGGTTGATGCATCGCTAAGTTATGAAGATCACTTGTCATGTGGTGTGTTGCCCCGCTATCGAGTAGCCATGGATTCGTCGGGTGTGGAGAACCAAGTGCTAGATTAGCACGTGGCTGCCATGGGCGGAATGGAGAAGGCAGTAAGCTTGACTGTGCGCTTGATTG